TGAGATAAATTAGAGTGATACATGAGACGCCGTGTTAAATGCAGGGGCAAGAGTCAACTATATTTATCTAGTTAAAAAACAGAACTGAGCTACAGCATGAAAATGTTCCAGAGAGGTTTTATTGCTATAAAGTACCTTGCACCCATAATGAAAACAATATAACAGAGAAATACAATCTCTCTGCCTCCCCAGCCAAGCCCAGGCTGAAATGATGACCATCTATTCTCCTCACAAGATGCCACTCCGAGTGTCCCGTTGTTAAATCCAGTTTGGAAGCAGACCCTCCAATAAAGTTTAACAATGCAGCCATAAAATTGCATTTAATGATTTGCAAAAGCTTTTTGGAATGTGAGTTATGCAAAGGCCCACGACGTGCAGCGCCTAGCTTGCATTCCTCAGCACTCCTCACTATCACACATCTTATTAAAAAAAAAATTCCCAAATTTATTCTTAACTGACCCACTCTCAAATATTAATTTACATAGCAAAACACTTAATAGCAGCAAATGGCAAGACTCCACTGCTCTTAATGCAAACCCCATCTTATTCCCCTTGAACTCTTACTGAAATCAAAAGCACTTGCAAAGTAAAGCATTACTCAGTCCTAACACAGACAGCAGAACGCAGCCACAATAAAGACAATGAAACCATTTGGCACATACTTAAACACGTATTTCTTTCACTCATTTTCAAATGACACAGTCACCATCGCCTGTGTAAGAAAAGGCTATCCCTCAAGTCCCCGCCAGTCAGCTGCATGCATTTCACTGGGAAAAAACAATTCGGCGTTGACTGGAAATCAGATCCCCTCACTGTCTTTTCACTCTTCCTCATAAAACATTCATAGCTCTTCATTTAACCATGTGCTACAAAGCAAACGCCCCCCACCAATACACATGTACCTCCAAGGTACGTCACTCCAAGATTTTGAAAGCTTAAGTATTAAAAAGCAGATTGCTAGCCTTTGCTTGAGGCCTCTTGGATAAAGGAGGTGTTCAGCAGAAGCCCCTTCCTCTCCCCATGAAGCTGCTGTCTCTTTTGCACAGAGCAATATGGGATACTTCACAGCCAGCTAGGAAAATGCTGCTGCTTTGAATGTGCATCTTATGTGACTCCATCACAGGAAAGCCTTAATAGTAAAGCTCTGTGCCAATTCCAAGGATTTGTAAATATATTTAAATTTTACTTAAAACCAGTTTTCTTGAGTTATTGGAGATTCCCAGGTTCAACAACACAAAGTCTAAACGCTTTAAAAAAAGAAAAGGAAAAAAAGCAGAATGATGCATGTCTTTAATTTTGAAGTTTTTTAAAGAATCATATTTTCAAGCTTTCCTTCATAAACAAAAAGACTACAAGCTCACTTAGTCTTCAAACGAAAGCTAGGATTCTGGTGCATTCACTCCACTCCACTCCAGAGACTTACAATACCCGAGGGAAACTCCAAGTGTAGTCAGATTTGGCAGTTTGCAGGTCTGATGTCACTGTCCTTGGAGCCTGCATAATCCCTGCCCAGAGGAGGACGAGTTTAACTGCTGACCGGTCTCCTCTGATCAGCTGCACAATTCTGACTGCTGCTTAGCCGCTGTTGGTTTCATACTCCTATTAACATCTGAACTTTTCCACCCTCTCAGAATAATTCTCATAGCTTCATTTATAAATGACTCAGAATAATCCCGCCAGCTGTGTTCACAAGTGACACGATAAATGTGCACACGTGCACCCACAGCTCACAGTGCAAAAGCATTTCATGCCTAAAGCAGAGAGATGTGCTGGTGCCAGTCCAGCCAGGTATCTCAAACTCCAGACATCCTCAGCAAGGACAGAGAGAGAGGCACTACCAGCTCCTGTAGCAGCCTAGGCAATACCCACCTCTTAAGAATAAGGAGACCAACCTACATCCCTTAAGCAAAGGCAGGTCACAGTAACAAAGCTCAGCACTTGAGAACCCACGTGGAAAGGGCTCACTAGATAACATGGGCTGAATACCTGCATATGACAATCCAGAAAATTTCATGCAATTCACCTGAGATTTGGCCAAGATGGACACTCAGAAAGACATCCATGCTTGCTTTGAGAGTGTCAATGGAATAAGAAGCCAGAATTTCCCTCTAGAGAGTTGTTCCCCATCTCCTGGGAGCAAGTGTTAACTCCGCTCAGATCCACCCCATGGACTTTGCTTGTAAACACAGAGCAGCAGCAGACCTGCCTATGCAGGGGGACTGTGGATTCCTCTTAATGGAAGGGTTTCGTGGGCAAGATGGACTAACATTTGTCAAAGATGGTCTCAGAGGAGGAGATGAGACCGGGTCATCTCTTGAAGTCCCTTCCAGACCTACATTTTTTTACTTCCCTCACACAGCAAGCAGAAACACAAATGGTCAAGTCAAGCTGCAGTTGGGCTAATGGCTAATTTTTGTTCTCTGCAGTTACATCACTCTTAGGTGACTCAACTTTCCTCCTAACTTGGCTCTTTCGAACAGGCAGCCCTTTGGACCAGATTTTTCCACTTGAAACTGATCAACTTCAAAGTGCCTAAGCTACAAATAATTAAAATGTTTTTAAAGACAGTATGAATATTCTGCTTGGATTAATTGCAAGCAAAAAAAATGGGTCATCTTATGTAACAGACCGCGAGTGAGAATAGAGAATACAGCTGGCAGCTTCAAGTGGGTCCCCTCAGGCTGTCTTTCTCCACCGTGAAGGCATTGTACATCAGGCAGCCTCTGTTCAGAGCGAGCCTACATCTGGAATAAACTAGCGTGCTACAGATCAGAAAGGAAGCACGCTGCCAGCACGACGTGGGGAAGCTCGCCTTCTGCCTGCTCCAAGTGCATACCATCAAACGCTCGATTTCATAAGCACATCATTAATAAAACAAAAAGGAACATTTTTCCTCCAAGTGTTGAGGAAAATAAATAAATAAATAAATAAATGAATGACATTGGAGCCGTACTTCCTCCCTTTTCTTTCACCAGCTAATTGCAAGAGAGTTTAAAGGGGTTTGACTAATTTTGACTGTGCCATGTTCAAGAAGCTGCAAATCTATATATACAAAGGAAAAATTGCTTTGAAATCCTGTATTAAAGAAAAGCTTGGCAGGAGCAAGGTGTAAACAAATGGAAAACAGGAACGCAGTAAGTAGTTAAAAAGCCAGACAGGAAAATGGAAAATGTAAAATAGTTGTCTACAAAAAAGCACTTTGTGTCACAGCAAGCAACTCAGCTGAACCTGGTGTAAATATGTAACAATTTTTAAATAAAAACAGAGATAAGCCATGATGAGAATACCAATAACCACGCAAGGTCTGTACGCACACACTGACTGCCACGGGCCCTAACACAGCCCGTGGGATGTCTCCCTCCCTCCGCATTTCAACATGGATTTTTACTGTTTGTCTGCAGGAACCGGCTCCCACTTACAAACTTCACAGGTTTTCCCCGTAGGAGCAGCAGAAGCAAACAGCAAGCTC